CACAGATTGACAAATATTTCCATTTCATAGTACTAGTATTTCAAAATACGCGTGTAGTCTAGCTGGTTGTAGTCGGACAAAAAAATTGGCAACGTTGCATTTATTTGACTGTGCTCAATCGGGTTGTTAAAAAATATGGACCGTGCTCAATCGGGTTTTTTCAAAATAGGGACTGTGCTCAATCGTGTTTCACCGCGATTGAGAACGTTTTTACCTACTAACTTTTATGCAACATTGTCACATTTATTAAAAATACAAACTAAAAATAAAATGTACAATATATATATAATAGATATCAATTACTATATTTCATTTAAATTTTTGATTAGAGAATGCTATACCTAATCGTTTCCATCTCWTTTAATATATAATAATATATTTGATTAAAGGCATTTTGGAAACACAGGTATTATAAGATTATATTGATCTTTATTCGATTGATGTAATATGTATAGTATTATAACAGTTTATAACAGTTAATTACCAATTATTGTTTTATTTTATAATTTTTTCATACAGTTGTAGGTAATAATGTTGATTAAAAAAATATTGGCCGAAAAGGGAAGGGTATATTATGGCCAAAAATGAGGCTTTCCAAAATAATATGCCCCGCTCCCCCAGACACAACGTGCGATGGGGTGATTATCATTGTCCTCCAAAAATCATTCCGTTATATTTTCAATTTCACATAATTGAGAAGAATGCAAATTTGAAATTTGTTATAGAATAATTTAATTTTACATTTTATCAGTGATAATTATCGGACTGAGTATAAAATYGATGTTTTTCATTTATTGAAATTTTCGTGCAGAGTTTAAAACAAATAGGGAATCGCGGACACAGTGTAAATTTGCCCAGMTTAAAATTGTAATCAGGTAACGATTATTTATAATTTTTTTGGGAGACGAAAATCATTAACAGTGTTATTTATTTTGATATTATTATCATACAAATTATTTTAAAAGAAAACCGAAAACAAAATTTTTTATGATTTCATTAATAACACTAGTATCACGCATAATACAATTAAATTATGATCATTTTACGTTGTCATTATTTTTTAAAATTTAATTTATAAGTAATTCATCATTTATTTTGCGTTTCGTATATGTATCTATYAAATATATTTTTATATTATTATATGTTTTATGAACGACTGGCATATCAATTATCTTGTCAAATCAGATTTTTTGGAACATTTTACTATTTATCTAGGCACTTTTTTACTGCATATATTTTACAACGACCGTATTGTTAGTAAACATTATAAAGTCGTGGGCATGCAGGATCTGGGACACGAACGTCATGTGATTTTAAAATCCTCGATAAGGCTGTATTTTTTTTACTATTGAGCCAYGACCAAATATCTGGTATATATCAAATATAACCATTTAATGGGCTTAATCCGAGTTCGGTCKATCGTGGTTTGAATAATATTTTTCCAGTGCATTTTYCTACTACGCACATGACGATAACARTTTTATTAATTTAAACATCCAGGACACATTTCTGGGCACTTTATTAGAGTATACTCGCTAAGGACAAATCGATTATCGATTGCACACTTAGGGAGTTGACGTAATGACACATATATCTAATTCACTACACATACGGATATTATATTATGCGTACGCCGAATTAAGATCGGTCATATAGTTATTGTTGTTATCTCTAATATTATTATTATCTATATTGTATGCCGTGGAAACCGAAACAATAGTTTAGGCGCGAACAGCATGAATTTCTTTAATTGTAAGTTTTAAGTGTCTAAAAAGTAGCCACGGGGCGAGCTTCCCGTCGCGTTTTAATAGGATTTTTCCGGACCCCCCACAACCCTCTTGCAAGTTTTAGTGCGGATATTACGGCGGCCCGAATCTATTACACGGCCGGAATAAATTAATTTTTTTTTCTTCACAGTTTTTTTTTTTTCGTCAACATTTCAATACGTGCATCACGGATTCACATGTGTTCGTGTAGGGAAAATAATTTTTCCCTCATAAATCATAAAATTAATACATAATGAAAATATAGGTCATTCGACACGATCGACGATGAGAATTACACCTGTTATCCGTGAAATTGTGAATTTTTACGTGCGTGATGGTGCGCGCACACACCCTCAGCTTATCTGTCATTCGAGCATAGAATTTACGTTCAGCAGAATACATTTTGTGTATATTGGGTTTAAAACGAGAGGGTGAAAATTTTGACGTATTATCGGCAAATTTAAAAGTAAGAAACCTTTACTGTGAAGCTTGYATAGGGTTTTTAACGATATTTAAATTGTCCAGCGGGTCGTGACTATGAGTTATAATTTATAAGTGTTTTGAGTTTATACCTAAGTACCTAGGTATGTCAAACGTTGCATTTTAAAAACGCTTATAACTCGGTTGAAAATTATTAAAGCCTATYCTACAACCACGGATAATGTTCTTAAATTTAAGTTTGATTACAAGTCAACTAATATTATACACTGTATAGGCAATAACACAAAATTGGTTCTGATGAACGCAAATTCACCATGTGCCACGGTAGAGAACCCAATACTCGTATATACATATGAGTCCTGTAATTATTATCCAATTGTCCAGTGGTGTATTTATAGGGGTGATTGCCCCTTTTATGAATTGATTAAATATTGGTTTTAATACGGGTACAACACTAGGATAGCATAATATTATGATGTTAAAGAAAAACGAATTTYTTTTTAATATTTTCATATGGTTGATGGAGTTTTTAATTTTTTTTTTTCATGACATTTTATACGTACATGTTACGTACAACAAATTTTGTTTTTATTCATATCGGGGTATAATATTTTAACGTTTATAAGTAGAGTTACAATAATGCTTGCTCTGATCGTGTWTAGACTGAGGTATAATCAAATAATATCGTACATGACGTTATGTACAGAGACGATATTTCCGATACGTTCTTATTTTATATCGTAAGCGCTTATACATTATACATATTATCACTGTTATCCTCATAACGTGATGCGATTTTTTTTTCCCCAGCAACGGACAATGCCTCGAGACGGAGCCAAAGGGAAACATCAATTTAAACGGCGGTTCAGCCTACAGCCGTCGTCGTTCTTCCGCGATGATACACTGTCGTCAAGTAACTCAATGACTAGGTAAGAACTCTTTTTTTATAAATGTATATAATATATTATATAGAGCAGCAGTTCTCAAACTTTTTTATTCGTGCAGCCCTTATTATGTCACTTTAAAAAAAATTACGGTGCTCCAAAAATTTAGAAATGTCTTTTTAAGAAAATAATAATAATTTAATTAATGTCTACGGATTCGCTAAGCACAGTTTGAGAACCACTGCTATAGAGAATATCTCGTCGCATCATGACGAAACAACCSTAACCTCGACGCCATCGTCCCTGTGAGCGTTTCGCGTGTCATATAATCACAACAAATTAATAATAACAGTGTAAATGTCTGAAACGTTTATTCGTGTTGAAATCTGACGGCATACATAATCCAAGTTTCGACACAATACGCCATACGCGTAATATTATCATTAAGTACAATATTATTATTATTATTAATTATATAAATAAAATAAACTCTATTTCATTTATAAAGCAAATCGTACAGAGAATAATCATTATAATATAAGAGTAGGTATAATATTATTATGCGCCTTGGTAACAATAGACTGCTGTTTTGTGGAATCGAAGAAAAAAAAACTGTCGAAACTAAATCGTCCGGATGAAGAGGTCGGTCTAGTAGACGTACGGGTACGAAGTTTGATGGTGGTTGTTGTAGTATTGGATGTTGTACGGATACTGAGCGTACGGATATACGCCGTTGTAACCATAGTTGTATCCGTTGTTGTAACCGTTGTAACCGTTGTAGCCGTTGTAACCGTTGTAACCGTTGTAACCGTTGTAACCGTTGTAACCGTAGTTGTACCCGTCGTGTCCGGTTGAATAGGGCTTGCTGTACACTGCTGTGGCCACCGTCGCCTTGTCGTACTTGCCAGCGTGGTACTTGCCGTCGTCGTACTTGCCAACGTGATGGTGGTACTTGCCGTCATCGTACTTGGCCGCATGATGGTGGTACTTGCCGTCATCGTACTTTCCCTGGTGCGATCCGTATGGATAACCGTAAGCTTGGCCGTAAGGGCTGCCGTACAATGTGTTATATGGACTGCCGTACAAACTGCCGTAAGGACTGCCGTAGTATCCGTAAGCGGCAGCCACTAAAAATGACGAAACAAATCGTTATTTTAAATTCAGCGTTCAAATATTTCTGGGGCCGTTTACCTAATAATATCTYTGAGCGGTGTAATTTGGAATTATCTTGTGCGAGATATACTATATCTATACTATAAACTAGTTTAGGCTATGCCCCCCACCCCACCCATTGACCATTAAATTTCATAAATCATAGTATTGTATCAATTTGTTATCATAAATTAGATGAGGTAAATGGTTTAATAATGGTTTTCAAAGTTATGTTTTAACTATATGAGCCTTGTCATATATATTATAATTGATGAAGTATCATAGTTTTACACTATAGTTTAAAAAAAATCTCATTCATGATTATGTCCATGAGTTCTTATTTCTTATTTTAAAATCTTAAAATTTTTTAAAGCCAAGTGYTTACGGGAATTTAATTATTGTTATTAAAAAAAAAAAAGTTTCCGGGGGAGGATATATCTCCATATCCCCACCATATGATTATGCCACTGATATCTTTACAGAATATAAGGGCTTAAGAATTAGAAATTTTTATACATTTTTGAAATTTCCATAGGTTTTCATCATCACTACAATTTAATATACCAATTTTTTTCATTTATTTTCATTTTTTATGGATTCTATAACTTTTCGGGCGCCGGGTGTTGAGAGCCTTCCTGTTCTTCTTAATAGTACATAAATTTCATAAAATAAAATGTCTCATAAGACTTACTCATTATATAATAATACATATATTGAACCATCATGTTTGTATAGATCGTAAAATGTGAATACTATGATTTGAAATAAAAAAAAACATTTTATAATGCTAATGYCAAATACATTGATTTCTTTAGACAAAATATCATTATTATCAATTATACCGCACACAATATTTATGCGGCAATCATATTATTACATAACACTGTATTTAGGTATAGACTTCAGACTGAACGACGCTGCCTCGGTACACGGCGTCGTTCGTAATGCAGAGAAATAGGTTTGATCGTGAATCATGTCAGCAAAAGCACATAATATGCGATGTATATATAACACTATACACTCACGAGTTTAATTTGATTTWATTTTAATTCTACTAAAATTTGYCGGGAATAACCCCGCCTGCCGCCGTGAATTCAAGTCATATATATATTTTATCCCGTCACTTTCGAAACCCACTCCACCGAATTTCACTATAGACTTTTCGCTAAAAAAAAAAAAATTGGCGGCAAACACTCGAGCGACGTATTTCGCCTTGAGCGGATTAGTGAACCGCACGCACGCGTGATGCTTATATCGTCTTGACTTATTTATCTTCTGGAATAGGTCGAGCAGGTTTTTGGGGGCTGATGCTRTTGTATATTATTACGAYCGCTGTGGACTGCACCGCATAATAGTCGTTCGGAAAATTGCTCGCCGGCAATAAAAACGGTGACTCCGGGAAATTTGACGTGGGTACAAAATAAATTGGACGTATGAAATACCTAGGTATACTTAATACTTATACATATCTGGAAATTTCGAAATTCCAAAAATACCTAAAATTGATTCCACATTTTTAAATCTAAATCGATAAACATCGCTGGGACGAGTTTCAATGTGCGTACCTTTGATGTGTACACACGGGCCGGTGAAATGGACAGTCATACACGTACACGATCATGTCAAATAATATGTGTATTCTATATCAATGATAATGTATAATATATCAATGTTTTTGAAAAAAAAAAAATTCAGATGGTTCAAGTCGGTTGAAAAGTGAAWTTTTTTCAATGTTTTATTCTAAAATTTTTAAATTTTTAAACTTTTGAATGCCAATACACAGTTTTAATTGCATTATTCAAAGAAGAATATTTTACTAAGTGTTTTGATACATACAAATCTAATTTAAGGGTAGCGTAGTTATAATGAGTTTTAAGAATACTKTATGTTTGTATGAGCGGTCCTTAAAAAACGTCATGCGTGGACGTGAAWGAAATAAATCATCCCAGTTTTGATTTTACTACCTACCCCACTATTGGGGCGTATTTTCCAATCACACAATTGATATTTTTTTATCGACGACGTAAAAATACCGATCATGTTAAAATCTCGTGAGTCGTGGATTAATACAATAATATGTGAATTAATTATTATATGGCATCTAGGATTTTCGTATCAGTTGCGTATTATAAACGTCAGTTAGGTTTTAAAATATTATCTTCAGCAGAATGTCATATTGAAAATGAAAAGCGGACGAAAAAAAAAGCACTATAAGTCTATAATAGTATAATTTATGATCGTCGTTGTTTTTAGACGAAGCGATGACGATATTATACTTTTATACATATTTAATTTTATAATATTTTGTATATTTAGATAATCGGTATCCACATCCCTCACACTTATTAATTAGAGAGGATCGTTTTATAAACGTTTTCCSCGTGAAAAAAATTGTAATCGCAGTCATGACGTCATCGTTGCAGTTGAACCTCCCGATCGAAGGCCGAGCGAAACGTCAACCCAAAATCGCGACGATTTTGGACAGAACAATAGTAGTGTCGATGAAATGATGGAAAACGCGTTTTTGGTTTCGTTAATTAGTTTCTGTCATTTCCGTCGTACACTCGWGTGCTMATTTTTCGCTACAACTCGTATTTCCGACACGACGAAACGACGTGATAATACAATAATATTATTATTTCTACGCGATTAAAGTGTGATTCATTTCCWCAAAACCGTCGCAAACGAGGCGCCACGCCACTACTTCAACTCCTCCTGACCGCCAGCATTAACATTTTTATTCACTTTACAACGTTCCCGGGTAGTAAATTAATATTTATATACATATAATATTATAATATATCACTTGATGAGCCATGCCATGCGTTTTTTTTATATTATTATTATTATTATTATTATTACTATTATTATTATTATTATCATCGCTTAAACTAGACGTGCATTTTGATATATTATAATGTCATCTCAAGCGCGAATAGTGTTCTATCACCGTGTATTTACCATGCATATAGTTTATCGTTTTTTTTTTTTTAGTGAGCGCTAAAATTTTTAATGTTTCTTTAAAGAAAGAAAAAAATTATTACGTTTTTTTTTTTATTTGTAAAACGAAACACAATACTCGTATATTATTATATATTATATAATTGTATCTTGTCGTACAATTTACATTATGTTTAACAAGAAAAGACAATTTTTATTCTCTTCCGAAGATTTTAGTTTTTTTATTTTTCGTATATATTATTTATGTATAAAACGTTTTACGTGATGATGTCTAAAATAAAAATACATATAATATCACGAATACCAATCGCGTAAATTGAAAACGCGAATGACGTCGAGTGGCTTGTAAGACTATAATAATTGCAAGTTTT